CAAGATTTTTTTTCCTAGTTCTTCATCCCAGGACCTAGAACGGTTACTGACACACAGTAGGCATTTAATACTACTGAATTAATTAATTTGAAGATGAGAATTGCTAAGGAATATGCCTTATTTGCATATCAGGAATCATTTTGGCTTCATAAGCAAGAACTGTATATTTGAATTATTCAACCAGCTATAGGCCCTCTTTTTAGTTTTGGGAGTTGGCTTCAATTAACAATTCTGTGAGGCTTGTCTTTTGTTTTTAATGAATTCTGTCTCAGGTACTTAAAAAAAATCTCTATATATTTCATCATGGAAATGAAATATGTCTAATTTATCATTATTGAATTGAATATATATAATCATTATCAAATAAATAAAATCATTATGTATTTAGTAAGCACCAAATCCAAAAAAGTCCTGCCTTTTAGAGCTTCAGTCAAAAAATAAGAGAGCAAGCATTAAATAAGAATTGACTCCTACCCCAACTCTAAACTCCCAGTGATGAGGTCTGTCACAGAAGAGCCCTGTGCTTAATGACCCTGATTCTGGAGGGGGAAAACAAGGCTTCAGATCCCAGCTCCTCCACCCACCAGCCCTGTGCACCTGGGAAGATTCCTTCCTCCTCTTTATTTGCCTCAGTTTCCTCATCTATGAAAGGGGAAACATGTAACTTCAAAGAGCTGTTACGAGAATTAAATGAGTCAGTACATGTAAATCTCTTAGAATAGTTTCTGGCAGATAGTAATTATTCAATTAATACTACCTAGCACTATTAAAACTCTTATACATCAACTATACTTCAATTTTTTAAAACTCTAAGAAAGCCCTTGGTTTATACATCACAGAGGCTCACTAATGACTTTTTTTTAATCTTAAACTGAAAAAAAAACAGAAATGCATCTGTATCATGTACAAGATTTCATATTTACGGATAAACTTAGGGACAAAGTGAACTGCTTATCAAAGTTGGGTAATAAGGTAGAAATAACAACTTCCCACTCATTCAGAGAATTCATGGAAGAGGCAGAATTTCATGCTTATACATTTTTTTCCGATTAGAAAAAGAAGAAAATTCCACATAATCCCACCACCCATGCTGTTGGCATTTTAATATATTTCTTTTGTCTTTTTTCAGTGCATATGTGTAGATTCTTAGATAATTGAGACTGTATTTGGCACTGTGCTTGATTCACATAACACCGTATTATTAAATGCATTTTGTGTCACTTTTTAAAAATATCATCTTAAATGACTGCATAAATTTAATTATTCTAATACAAATAAGAAAAAGTGGTGACTAATACACCTCGTTTTGAACCCATAATTTCTACATACTCATGACCCCCAAAATAACCAGCCAGAAATGACTTTTGGCTTATTTATTGTTCAGCATGTTTGTTTTTAAATAAAATTTTCTGGTCAAAAATAAATTTTAATATAAATTAAAAAAAATTTTTTTTTGGTGGGAGAGGTAATTAGGTTTATTTATTTATTCTTAGAGGAAGTACTGGGGATTGAACCCAGGACCTCATGCATGCTAAGCATGTACTCTACCATTTGAGCTATACCCTCCCCCCATAGAATAAATTTTTTATAGGAAGCTGAAAAGAGACAGGATGTCCACCTCCAAATTAAGTCCAATGTACACAGGGAGGAATCACATTGCCGTCACTGCCACCTCCCAAAGTCCACCCCAACCTTGGCCAGTACAACCAGCTACCCAATCAGTGGGATAAAGAGCTCTCAACAACGTGGAGGGGCCAATGGCTATTACCAAAAGTCTTCTAGGGCAAAACTGAAAGGATGAAAAAGAAGGAAGAAAGATGAATAAATGAGTGTAAAGGTGGGGTGGGGACTGTTACTGCACAGCAGTTCCCTAGGTTAACACTCCTCTTCCAAAAAGACTAGAAGACTTGTGATCCAGAGAGACTGACTCATAGTTCAACACATACAGTAAAACATGCTTGTTGTTCATTAGACTTAGGCTAACTATTCTGGGAAAAGCAAAGAGCCTGTAATCTTTAGGCTTTTTGCATATGCAAAACAGCAGGTCAGATGAATCCTGCATCTCATATCTGAGAGAATCACAGAGAGTTAATGGTATGTGTTCTGGGAAATGGAGGGTTTGGGTCAGTTAAAAGCATAATGCTTGTGATTTATGACATTATCTTATACACTTTATCCTCTCTTGGTTCCCAATATCTGGCTTCAAATAAAGGAGGTTACTGTAAAATGTCAGGGGTAGGGGTAGAGGGGGATTGGAAATCCCTAAATTCCAATTTAGTGGAATTTCTATCATCTTTTATAAGCAAATATTCTTTCTTAATGAAATCTCTTCAGCTCACCTGGAAGGAATGCCCTCTCAGAAAAAGAAATTGACTATCCTATGCTCACGAGAGCACAGGTATGGTGCCTTGTCACTGGAATGTGAGTATCACTCCAAAATAACGCCATTGCTCATGTATTTTCTCTTCTAAAGGCAATCTGAACGCTATTCCAATTCAATTATTGAAGCTCTTTTCTGGTCATGTCAAAATGAAAAATCACATTTCAAGAGCCTCGATTTTCAAAATAGGCTCAAGAAACCAGCTATCCTTGCAGTTTAGTTTGGCCCAACTTTTCCAACACAGGAAGAAAAGATTCCAAAACACTCAGTTTCTCTGTTGCAAATACATTTGCTAGGAGGTCACCCAATGATTTCGCCATTTGGGGGAATTATCTAAACAAACAAACAAAACCAAAACTAAAAAGAAAACTAAACACCTAAAACCTCAGGCCTCGAATATGCAGTCACACTGTGTTCTGCTTCCTTTTCTAGCTTTCTCCCGCTCTGCTGTCTGTCCAACACGTGAATGACCTGTCTTATCATGCGTTCTGTTTGGTCTATAATAAACATGCAGCTAACTGCACAGGTGTGATGATCCAAATGACAACAAAGATCTAATACATTCATTTCAAAATAAACAATTCTAAGTTTTCCACTTACCCAAAACAGGTCTGCAATCTAATTTAAAACAAAACAAACAAACAGATTTTTTCCTCCCTCTATGAAATTACAGTACAGGATCTAGTGATAAAACCTTTGTTTATCTACAAAATAAAGTATATCTGTGATCTAGAGCACCTTCAGAATGTCGATTCAACTTTTTAAAAGTGTAATGCTTAGTCATTTTTAACCACAGTCTTCGAAAACCTAGGGGAAGAAAATATCGCTTTCAACTTTTCTCCTGTCCAATCCACCACCGTAGACTACATTTCTTGCTAGTGGATCTCACCTTGGTGAGAACTCTCAGTCCACACAACTGAATGGAACAGTGTGGCTCCCTCGGGCACATTTCCTGAGAGCCCCTTCCCTGAGCATGTGCCAAGAATCAAATCTTGGCCACTTAGTGCTCTGGGCTCCACATGTGAGCTCACGGCGCGTTGAGCAGCCATGCTAACTGAGATGGATAGCCCTGTCAAACAGGAAGCTGGCACACCAGGATGCAAGCAGTGGGATACAATGACCTTTACATTCAGAGAAAAATATCCCTAAAATGGCATGAAAAGTTTATGGAGGGGAATGGGGAGGAATTCTTTTATTTCATTTAGGCACATAGCATGAAATAAAAGCAATGGTGCCCAGTATGCAATTTGCTAGAGACCAAATCTTGAATCCCTCGCACAGAAGGAAAGTGGTCGGAGAAAGGAAATGAATCATCCTTTATCATGCTGCTTTGAAAGCAGCGGACTCTACGCGATTTAGCTGTATGTATTACTGCACCCGGCAGGCCCGGCACTCTGATTCAGACTGCACTACAGCTCATAATAATCCATGGCTCTGGGTAAATATTCTTGACCCGCTGGTTCCAGATGGGTTGCTATCTTGGTAGAGCTAAGATATAATTTAAATACTTAATTAAAACATCTTTTAAAAAGTAATAATCCGCTTATAAGATCAGAATTAAGAGCTTGGGAATTTAATACCCATGTTCTTCATCAGCATATTTGTAACTTTGTATAAACTGCTTAATCTCTCATAGTCTCCTTATCTGAATATATAGAGGCTCTGACTGATAGTTCTTAGTAAGTATATGAAGAGGACTTCATTAAAAAAAAGTAGCAAAAATCCATGGCACATACACAAATGTTAAGCAAGGAGACTAATATAGGAAATTAACATATGGCACAAGACCTGGAAGCCACGTCTTTCTGTCCTTTAGTTATAACCATTATCATAAAATATACAATCCAATCATTTCAGCTAAAAAACAAAAGTAATCATTCCATTGGGTCAAAGATCTATTTTTCCATTCTTCGAGGTTTGAGGGTATTTTTGTTATTTGTTTTTCAGTTCTTTGGCGTGAAAGGACAATGAGCTGTGCTTCAGAACGAAGCAACACAAGCTCACAGTGGGTTCCCCAGAGCCGTACCACACAGACTGAAATAATGATGCAACGTTAATGTTCAGTTAAACAGGTAAAATGAACTGATCACAAAGACACTGAGCATTTTTTTTAATGAATGGACTACATCAAAACTACAGAGCAGTTTTCAAAGATACAAAAGTACAGTATGTTAAGAGGTCTACATTTTTTTCTATTTGACTAAAAGCTGATCATAAAGTGCAGAAGCTACAGGGCAAAAGCAATAAATAATTTAGAAAACTGAAAGCTTATGAATCATGCACTCAAGTTTGGGTAAGTTAGGAGTCAAATGTCTCAGCACTCTGAGAACACTGATTTGGGGACTTAAATAACAGTTATCAATGCAAAAAAACCTGTGATGATTACTTTGAAATGTAAGTTGATTTTGGTGGCTTTAGAGGTGCTGGTCAAATGCTTCCCAAAGCAACCAGAAAACAAGACTCTCCACGAAACATTCTGCTGCTCACTGTTTGGAAAAGATGCTAAATCTGACCATTCTCCTCCAATCCTTGTTTGGAGAAGTATTTTGGGGAACACATTCTTCCTCAAGTCATGACACACTCACGAGGCACAGGGAGGAGAGGGGGGACGCATGAATACCTTGTGCTTGCGCCGCGGAGCTGTGGGAGTACCCCAGGGCCAGAAGCGCGGTCTCCACCAGCTGGCTGAAAAGCACGTCTTTTCGAACCAGGACAAACTCAGCGTGTTCTTCCCTGTTGTCATATTCAAGAGAACCGTCCAACTGCTCCACCACACAAAAGACAGGAATCATCAAACCTGGAGGGACAAAATTCAAGAGCGAAACACAAACATTATAAAGCAAATCTCAGTCACCATGATGAGAAGGGAAGAGACAGTTATAAAAGTCATTCATCTGTGATCGACAGTGGTTTAGATAAAACAAGCCTCTTAGTCGGATGGGCCTAATGGGAAAGCTGTGGATTTTTTTTCCCCTCCATGATTACTATCAGACTGCAGCAGAATTGCCCCAAGCAGTGGCAGAAGCCCTCAGATTCCAGTCATCAGAAAGTTAGGGCACCAATCAGGGGTGCCCTAACTGAGAGACCTCAAGTTCAAAGCCAGCACAGAGGTGAGATCAAAGAGACCTTCTAGACCCTTGTATCCTTGTGTCCATGGTTTTATCATTACCTGTTAATCAGGACTACTATTTTCAGATCAGATCTGCTTTTGTCTAGAAATGTTGTAAGACACATAGTAGGAAGGCCTATTTGATTATTATGTGACTATGTACAAGAAAATCAGTAGGAATTTAAAAGGAGCACCTCTTATACCTTTCATTGTTCTAAATCCTGGTAAATAGGTCATCAATTAACCTGGAAATGCCCTGCTCATGAAAGTCTTAACTTATGTTTATGTCAAAATACACATACAAATACAAAACTTCGTCTTTTAAAAATTTATTACTTTATGCATTAACAGCAGTTACCACTGGAAAGGAGTAGCTCTACTTATGTTTTCAAAGAAAAGAAGTAAACTGCCCCAAAGAACAAAGCAAATTAGTTGAGTTGAGAATCTGCTGAAATCTGTTGTCACTGAAATATTTCTCTGCTTTGTTTCAAAGTGTGAAAAGCTAAAAAATGTTTAATTTGCCGAAGATTTTTTATAAACTAACTGTTTTTCATTTTTTAAAAAAAGTCATACAGACATTTAAATCTAAACATAGCCACAGCAAAAGAAGATCAAAGTTTTACCAACATACAAGTAATAAACATGGACTCTGTCCTACGTAATTCACACAAATAAGTATGTTATGGAATAAGGATCTGCTCTGGGTCTTCTCTTTGTGCAAGAAAAATCAAAAGTTATAAAGGATGAGTGGGCTGGTGGAGAGATGGAGGAGGTGGAAGATGAGCTGGTCGCGATGATGACACTTCACAGTGTAACATGACATATGGGAGTATGGCCTCTGACACACACGCTGCACAGAGGTTTTCTACAAGCCCCTCCCTGTTGCCCAGACCCTAGAAGCCTCCTGACTCACTCTGATCTGGAAAGCAGAGGGTGGGAGCAGACATCCTACAAACTACCAGGTCACAGATTTAGATTTTTGTTCTAAAAGATAATACAATGGTGCAACTGGTTCCCATGTGCTAATTATTATTATTAAAGATAATAAGTATTGGGTGTAATTATTAAATATAATCATTATTAACAATAATAATACTCATTAAGAATTGTTATCATTAAAGATCATGATAATTATTATTAAGTCTGCACAACAGACTAACAAGTCACACTGTGCCATACCCGGGACAACTATTAACTCAAGGTTTACGCTTAAGAGCAACAAAGCAGCATTACTGTCCATCACACACACTATCCATAGTAGAGATTTATGAAACATAGGAAATGCGGGTGGAACAGACTGGTTTAGACAAAGAGAATTGAGCCTGGCCACATGGTACCATACAAAATACTTTTTTAAAAAAAATTATGACCAGCACTGGCATATCAAATCCTGATTTATTTATGTCCAGTTTACTGCCAAATGCATGTGAGATATGCAATGAAAAATATAAACTAGATTTCCTCCAAATTATCTCTGTAGTCATTCATTTCTCCATCTTTTATTCCCTGAACACCTACTGTGTGCCTGGTATTCCCCATGGTTCCAGTGATACAGATGAAAACAAGTCTGAAGTTGCTCCTGCCCTCAATACAGTTGACAAGTGTTGTAAAGCCTTCTTCAGCGAGCATAATGGCATTTATAAGACTCATTCACAAGAGTCCTGACCAGCGGGGAGTAGACCCCGTTTAGACCTTTTAACTCTTACATACTGGCGTGTGAGCTCTGTCCGAGGAAGCAGGTTGATGTCTGTTTTTAATGATTTCAGCGTACGCACGCACAGGGCCAGGTAGTCAGTGGTGCCATAAGCTCCTTCGCCACTAATACCTGTGTGTACATAAGTTTCAATGCTGAAAACCCATGTGCAGTTCCTAATGTCAACATCTGAGTGTCACACATCTGGGAATCACAGATAAGACCTTTAAATGTATCCAGTTGCTCCACAGGCTATCATGTATTCATTACTTAGGAGCCATAAATCTTCCTCAAGTCTATGATTAACTGAGAAAACTTAAGACCCCTGTTAATTTTTTTTAAAAAAACAATATTAAAAGTTCAATGAGTTAAAGATGAAACACATTATTAAAGCACAAGGGTCTGTATCATGTAGGAATTTATGTTTTGAAAAATGCCAATGGCTGAAATATTTCCTAAACATTTTAGTTCAGTGATTAAAGGAAGCAATTGTTAGCTGATATAACAGCAATTACTCCTCATAATCAAAAAGCAAGCACCCATCCCTCATAGGCATCGCCTACTTTCAAAAAAAAAGGGGAAAAAAGGACTTGATGTCATTTATAAAATAAAACAGTAATAAATCAGAAGTGTGTGATAATAAAATTTGTTCTGAAAGAACATATATGTGAGATACCAAAGACTGTCATAAATAGATTACATTTACCAACCAGAAAAATGTACCTTTTCAATAGAATTTGATCAATCTAAACAATTATGAAATTTTTACAATGAAATGCAATTTTTACAAAAGAAGGGGAAGGCAGGAAAAATAGATGCAGTTACTAATGACAATGACAAGAGAAATGAAAACTAGTAAAATTGAGGTCAAGTCTAGGGAAGAAGAAAATTAAGGCACAGAGTTTAAAGCCTTTAAACACAGCAAAACCCTGGGAAAGAAAACTACAAAATGGTAAATAGAGGTATACCTCAAAGATATTTACCCTTTTGGTCCCCACATTCTCTCCAAGCAAAAGAGGAAAAAAAAAAAAATGAAAAAAGTGAAAATGGATGGAAGGATAGGGAAAGTGTTTGAAAAGCACTCAAAAAGTAAATTAAGAATTGGAAGAATTAAAAGATAAGTTCCAATAAATGAATAGCAAGATAAAACTAAAATGCATTCACAACAAAATCTGGAAATGATAAAGAAGAAAAAAGAAAGACACTCTCGTTTTAGCCCTATATCTAGATCTCATGGTAGTATTTTTCTTTTATTGTCACACAGACCCATCTCCAGATGATCAAGTAGAGAACTTTGAACCTTTTGATTATAAGCCTCACTAAGCCTTTTACAATTGCAGGAGGTAAGCAAGTGGTTTAATCTAGAGGACAGGCACACAGCTCCAGCCATTTGCTAAAAATTAAGAGCTGTTCTGATAATTGGGATAAATGGTAAATTCTATTGTCAGAGAGGCAAAATAAGTAATAGGACTCTCTCTACTAGAAAAGTGCATTTTCCCTCTTGTCATTAGTTGCGATGCTCAAATTGTCATTTTCATTATGACATTATTTCTGAGTAAGTGTGCATAATTATAAAGAGTTAACCTGATCTTCACCACCACAGCCATGCAGACAGGCATGTGTAGGGAGATGGTTAAATGTGGTGGTGACTAGCTCTCCGTCAGGAGGCAGGCAACTCTTAGACGGAATCCTGGCACTGTCATTACTAACGTGTGGGAGTGACCTTGGACAATTAATTTGACCTCTCTGAGGCTCAAATTCCTCCTAGCTAAAATGTAAATAATAACATCTGCATCCTAGAGTGGTCGTGAGGATTAAACAATGTAATAGTTCAATTGTCTGACAGCCCTCAAACAATGAAACCCATTTGTTTTGGTTTTCTTTTTTTTTTCTTCCAAAATCGGTATTAATACCATTTTACACAGGGGAAAAAAAAGAGAGACCAATAATTTTTTTCCAGGTCCATAATCAATGCTCATGATACTTACTAGGAAGCACTACTTCAGAATAAAAATTATACTAATAATCATTGAATGGTCTACTTACTTAAGATGCAAATAATAAAGGTTTAAAATGTTCAGCGTACCCCACAGGAAAAGGGTGAAAGTGTTAAAAGCACCACATTTTATATTCTATAATTGCCTGTCCAGGAGGGGAAGGATAGCTCAATGGTAGAGCACGTGCTTGGCATGCATGAGGTCCTGGGTTCAATCCCCAGTGTCTCTGTTAAGGGAAAATGACAAAATTTTTTTTTTAATTTTAAAAAATAAAAATAAATAAAAATAAAATTGCCTGTCCAACACAGTAGCCACTAGCTACATATGGTGACCGAGCACTTGAATGCTGACTAGTCCTGAACTGAGATGTGCTGTGAATATGGCACACACACTCAATTTCAACAATACCAAAAAACAGTAAGTAAAAATAAATACAACATGAAAAAAAAATTAACTGCATGTAGACATAATATTTTGGATACAACTGATTTAAACAAAATGTATTATTAAAATCAATTTTATCTATTTCTTTACTTTTTTAAACACAGCTATAAGAAAATTTTAAATTATACACGTGACTCTTACTACGCTTCTATCAGACAAAGCAGCTCTAAGCAATCTGCCAAAGACCAACATACACACAGGTTCTTCTGGCCCAGGAGAGAGACACCACAAACTGATAACCAGGACAATAGCACGATTGTCCTGAGCATTTCCCAGATGCCCCTCACTTATCTTTCCTCTGTGTTCCAGATCTTGGGAGACCTGAGGACAGACGTACTCTTGGTTAAACTCTAATATTTAACATAGTATCTTCTCTGCATCATGGAGCAAATGGTAGGCTATTGTTTTATTCCTAACTATATTAATCTGACTTCTTTAATAAAAGAAAGGCTTTTTTCCCTTTCCCTTCATTTTAAAGAACAACTACAGTGCTCAGGAGATGCCAAAGCAGTGGCAGGAATGTGACCCAAGGAACAAGGACTCTTTAATGCAGT